GTTTGTTTCTTCACAATGACTTGTTCACCAAAGACTAATAGCTGGATTCTTATTTGGTAAAGTTCCACTCTCTGTAAGTGCTGTTAAAACTCCTGGTAAAGGCTTAGAAGTTTTAGCTCTGGTTCCTGACCTGCATCATGTTTATTATTTAATGGGAAAATAAGTTCAACACTCACAAAATAATTAAATATTAGTATCAGCCATATGTGAGTAAGTAACAACATAAATGGCATGCACAGACAAGGACAGAAAGAATTCAAAAAAGGAGAGAGAGAGATTATGTCCTGGAGTGGTCACAAAAATCATGTGGAAATCTTATTGGAGATTCATTTAGAAGTGTTTAGAGGTGGGAAGAGGAAGGAGGAAGTCATTTCTAAAAAAGAAAAAATCATGAGCAAAGATCTATAGGTAGAAAAGAGCAAGTAATTTAAAGAATAATGAGAAGTTCAGAAATGAATTATAGTAAATATAGAAAAATCTGTGGATCCACCATACAGAACCTTAAGCACAGAAGCCTAAAATTGATTTTGTAAGAAACTGAGGGCCAGGGACTAATTTTGAGCCCAACTAGTAGCATGAGCAAATGGTGGCTGAGAAGGAACCACCCAGCAGTGATAATCACAAAAAGCAATATAGAAATAAACATTTTCTGGTGGCTACCATTTTCCAGGTTCTGGTCTAGACATATCCCTTTTTATACTTATCTTCACGAAAATCCTATGAGGTAGTTATTATCTTTCCCTTTTACAAATGAGTAAATTATGGTACAGTGAAGTTCCTAAAGCAAAATACTTTCAAATAGGTAATTTAAATGTGTGATGTGATTTAGCTGAAACAACAGGGAATTATACTTGTATATTGCTGAGGAAAATGTAATACTGCTCAGACACTGGAAAAGTTTGGTGGTTTCTTCAAAACTTAAACAGAATTACCACATTACCCCACAATTACACTCCTAGGTGTATACCACCCAAAATTGCGAACAGGTACTCCAAGAAATACATGTATATGCATGTTCATAGCAACTCTATTCACAACAGTTAGAAGGTGGAAGTAACTCAAATGTCCATCTATATATAAGTGGATAAATAAATGATGTATATATATACAATTGGATATTATTCAGCCATAAAAAGAATAAAATACTGACACATGCTACAATGTGGCTGTACCTCCAAAACATTATGCTAAGTAAAGAAGCCAGACACACAAGCCAATCACATACTATATGATTCCATTATACCCAGAATAGATAAATCCACAGAAACAGAGGATAGACTGTGGTTGCCAGGAGCTGGGGTCCAGGGAGTAGAGTGAAACTGTCTCATAGGTAAGAGGTTTTACTTTACAGTGACAGAAATGTTTCAGAACTAGAGACAGGTGGTAGTTATACAGCACAGTAGTACATGTATTGATATATTTAATGTAAATATATTAATGTATTTAATGCCACTGATTAGTTAACTTTTAAACAATTACGATTAATTTTATATTATGTGAATTTCGCCTTAATAAATTACTTATTTTTAAAAACAGAGAAGAACTACAGTAAACTAGAAAATATATACATCTGTCATGTTCCTTTTTTTTTTTTTTAAACCCTATGTTTGGCTAACCAATAGACATCAAACTGCTCAAGGCCACAAAAAGTAAGTAGGCTTAGAACCTTTCCACTATTCACTACCATCTTGGCAGAAGAGAACTGAAGCAAGAGACCAATTAGGAACTTATGGATTAACCTTTGGGTGAAATGTTTGGCATCTTGTCTAAGGAGATGTCAGTGGAAAAGATAATAAAGAAATAAATATAAAAAATATTTCAAAATAAGATCATTTATTCTAGGTGAATCACTGCCTCTTAAGAAGTCAGCTAAAAATTTCAAAGTTTTGCATCTTAATAAAAATGGGAGAATGGTAAAAGCATTTTTAAAAAGGAAAGCATGCACAAAGGGTTAATATGATTTACTCAATATCATAGGATAAGCCATTAGCTGAGGTTACAACTTAAAGATTCAGTCTTACAAATTTATATGATTCTACAACTTTGTGTCCTGTTGCCATTTGAAAATAACAGAAAGGCAATCTTAGTATAACCTTAACTGTACATCACCTTTGAATTAAACAAGAAACATGAAATTTGGTTTCAATTGTAATTTGTTAATGAACATGAAAAAAGATTCTATCTAAATCTGAAGATTTAGCATAACAAAGTATAAATATGGAAGTATAATGTATAAAAATATGATAAATAAAATCTATGACTTCAAATTCATGTTTGTATAATATACATGATATCCTACAATCACATTTTGCTTAATGTTATACTCATATATATATGTCTTTTGAAATCATACCACTAATAATTGTTGCCAAATGTTGCCAAATTTTAATTCCAAATCAATAGCATTATTGATATTCACTCATAAATTAATAACAATGCAATGTTTACATATAAAACTTTCTTCTGGGATGTATAGTTAGAATAAAGGACTAAGTAACTTCAGGATTTCTTTATATAAAAACCCTATCTACCAGATTATAGTAATTATAAAGCTGAAATAAATCCTGTCTCAAGAATCTAACATGCAGCCTTAAGTCTTTCCTTGTCCCCAATTTTAAGGCCCCAAAGTCAAGGATGTTTTCCCTAAGAACCCAAGTAAACTTTCTCCAGTATGACAAAATGGGTGCTATCAGACCTTCTTATCCATGTACCTTAATCTTAGGACTAGGCTAGACTTTAACTGCAAGACTTCCAGACTGAGCTCAAGTTCATCTTATTCTCCCTTTCTTTATTTGTTTTAAATAATACAATAAATACTTTATATTCATCACTGAAAGAAATCTAGAACTTTGGGTTTTTTTTTTTTTGAGATCTAGAACTTTGATAATAAGTTATATACTTGTTTATATGCTCCCTATCCATCCACCTACTTTTCTCTAAGTCCAAAGTTCTCATTAAAAGAAGTACTGGGGAAAAAAAAAAAAGAACTGCATGTTTTACAAAGGGTATAATATGTTATGTCATATTATAAGGCAATATATTCATGGAATTGACATCAAAAAACAAAGTCTTGGTAAAAATGTTTAATCACTGGAAATGTAAAATAGTGCAGACCTTTTGCAAAACAATTTAGCAAAAATGCATAAAAAGCCACTCTAAATATTAATACCCTCTAACCTCAAAAACTCATTTCTATAGTAATCAATCCCAAGAAAATAATCTAAATTATAGAAAACACAATTTGTAATAGGATGTATATCATAAGTGTTACTGACGAGAGGGAAAAGCTGGTGACAGCATGTTAAATGAAGAAGAAAATTATTAAGTAAATAATGCTACATGTAACTAAGGTCTGTCCTTATCCAGACTAATGAACATTTTTAAATTTCTAAATTGTCACATTTTGAATGTGTGTCAAATTCACAGAATCTAGTTCTTTATCTATACCAGAATTTAGAAAGTTAAATTAAATATGAGGGGTGACATCTGGGACCAATATAAGCAAGTTATACACTATGAGGTTTGGAGTGTCAGATCTGTTTTATAATATGCTTCCAAATAATTTTAAGGATAAAGATACCAGTATAAAACTATGAAATGAATTCTTTATAGTTGTATTAATGGAAACAAATATTTTTTGGACTAAGCATCATAAATAATTTCTTTAAAGGGTTTGTCCATTACTCAAATTATAAACGAAATAATTTTTCAAAGCAAAATGCTACTAAAGAAATCAATGTACAATATGTAAATGATAGGGATTTATTATTAATTTACTTATTTTAGGGTACATTTGAGTCAAAATATGAAAAACTTGATAGCAAGCAAAACTATAATCCTATGTAGAAATCTTAATTTCTATATAACTAAAAACAAAGTTAATAGTAATAGTGCATAAAATATAAATGACTTTTAAAGTAATATGGAGTGGTATAGAGACTCATAGTCAAAATACTTATCAACTCTTATCCTCTAATACTCTTAGTGATTTATGAAACTAGTATGTCATATACAGTGGTGCTCCCAATCTTTACACTGTGGACACTCTGGGTAGGAGCTAATGCAAGAAATCCTTGAATCAACATACACATACATGTTTTCTCAATCGATGAATACTAAAAATACAACTATTATAATTTGGTAGTCTGCAATTACTTTTGATGTTAAAAACGAATTCTTATTTTCCAACTGGAAAGTATGAACTCTTTACAAAGATCTTTAAAAAGTAAATAATTTAAAAAATACATACTACCTTGGTGATATTATTCTAAACCTACCTTATGTTTAATTAACCTTGACAACTTATTTAGTTACATATATTTTGAAATGCACATTAAGATTCAAAGTAAAATATCAGTACTTAGAAAAGATAACATTCATCTTTTACGTTTTTTAAAAAGGCGAAATCTTTAATGTGTACATGAATCTGGGGATTATATGAAAAGTCAAAGTCACTCATATTGTAACACTGAAAAACAAAACATACAGTATTTTAAGGTTAAATGGTATTCAGAACAGTCCAGTTAGTCCAATGCATTTGGAGAAATTACTAAATTATGTTTACCTTGTTTTCTTTATAACAATGAAAATCTTGACTTAAACTCACACTTTATACGAAAGTTAAATCAAAACAGATCATAGTCTTAAAAGTATAAAACTTTTAAAAAAGAAACCTAGGAGATTTTCATGATGTGATGTGGGGGTTAAGTAAAGAATTCTTAAATATGCCACCAAAAGCACAGTCCATAAAATACAAAAATCAATAACCTGGACTTTATTAAAATTGAAATTAATTGAAGTCAATAAAAAGGTAAAGAATGCCCTTTTAGCATTATACTGTAGCGAGAAATATTTACTATAAAATATGGCCATACATATAACCAGGATTTCATAAATTTGTTAGGATATATAAAAATAGGTGCTTTTTCTTTGACCCACCTATAAACATGTTAAGACTTTAGTCCTTTTTCATTTGAGTAAGGTTAATTATGAACACTTACCAGCAGCTTCAAGAACCAGCTGTAGTCTGGCTTTGGCCTGTTCAGCCGGTGGCTAAAAATCAACCATAAAAGATATTTACAAGTCAGTTTTAATATATGGAGTTTTAAATTAATGTATTATAATGCAAATATCAGATAATTTAGAGGACTTTACCATAATATTAATATCCATCCACATCTTAACAAAACTCCATCACAGCAGCTCTACCGATCTACTCTCACCATAGTAAACAAATCACACTTTTCACTAATACGATGCAATAATGAATTTATTTATTTATTTACTGGAAAAGGTTTTGTTTACTATCCAGCATCAATCAATGATACCTAAATCAGCACCTAAATCAGCACCAAATAGCAATAGCCGAAAAACTGCAATTTAATAACAAGGTAAAACCCACATTGTTAATATACTTCACACCTTATCAAGTCCTGTTATCTTTTTTGCATATGGAAAGCTGTAGAGCGACCTTTTAGAATTTAAGTAGCAACTTGACCACCAATACGTCAGGCAAGTCATATCCTAAAACAAAGTATTTTCTGCTTTCCTAACTATTTGAAAGGGGCAACTGTGATGAAGATAGGACACGATGTGAGTTACATGATTTTAATTCCTACTAAACGTCCTAAAATTGTTTTCTCAATACCGTTGATAATGTTGAAACTAAACAACTTTCCTACCAGTGACCTTATTCTGAGATTCTCAGATAATGTGTTGACGGTATCCAAGCTATAACATGGATTATATCAAGGTTATGGGTTTTTATGAAAGACCTGTTAAAAACTCTTTTAAACACTTATGACTGTACTTTACTATATATTTATAAAGATGTCAGCAAGTGACTAAATAACCTCATATTTAAATATGATGCCATCATTGGAGAATTAACATTTTATAAGATATATTTTAATATTTCTCTGTGAAAAAATGGTTTGAATGAAAAGACTTACATAATTGGATACAGAAAGAAGATGTACAAGAAAGGTTTAACAATTTGGATGGTGCTTCTGAATAAACTGTAAGAAACAGGATGGAAAAGTAGTAGTTAAGACAAGGAGACAGATAGGGAGAGTCTTTCATATCCTAGAAGAAGGGTTAACAAACTATGGCCCTAGACCAGTGACCCGGTTTTGTAAATAAGCTTTCCTGGAACACAGCCATGCCCATGTGTTTACACACTGTCTACGAGTGCTTTTGTGCTCAGTCCAATAACAGCAGAGTCCATTTTTTTGTGGCAGGAAACCTTGGGCCAGCAAAGCCTAAAATAATTACTATCTGGACCTTTAAGGAAAAGTTGGCGGATCTCGCCACAGAAGACAGAGAGACTCAAGAACGTGAAACAGCGGCATGAGGAGCAGGAGCTGCATAGTGATTCGCCTGATGAACCGAGAGGAACGTGACTGCGACTGCGTGCGGCAGGAAGCTCGGTCAGGAAGCAAGGATGATGAGGGCCTGAGGTGGAGCAGGGGTAAGGGGACAGGAAGAGCTCGCTTTGAGAAATAACGACCTGGTAACAGGAGCGGACTGACTGGAAAGGACAGAGGGAGGAACTGACAAACTGAAAAGCAGTACTTTATGTCATGTTTATGGAGAAAATGTACACAACCAGGGTTTATAAAGTTATAAAGTACTGAAAATATGTACATCAAGTTCAGCTATCACGGCAAAATATCAGTAGAAGGCCGTGAGATCTCCTGAACACAACTCTGTCAGTCATAAGCTCAACTCCCCAAGGAGGCCAGGCAGTTGGTACAAACATTTATGACGATAAGAGGCAAATACATTTGGCCTCGGTAGCAGGGAGCACAGTGAGGGTGCAGAACAGTGCAGCACGCGGCCCAGCTCACGGAGGCAGCGGATTCCAGCACCACCTCACTGTTGTCATACAGGGGTACAAACCCAGGGCTGGCATTTCTTGGGTTTTCATGAGACTCTAAGTTTCCAAAAACACCAATACTGCGTGGGGGCAAATAGTTCTTTTAAGAGCGAGGTTCAATCCCCAAACAGATGATTTGTGACCCCTGCCATCTACCTAACATACACAGTAGAAAAGTGACACTCTGCAATATAACATAACTAAAATAGACTGAAGGAAATCAGGTCCCTAGCAAGCTAAGAATTATAAAGCGTTCATTCAGAATGTCCTAGGAAGCAGTGTCCTCTGATAGAAAAATGTTGGACACTATTGGTTAAGATGTTACATGGGAAAGTTCCACGTATTTTATTACGAAAGATTAACAAGTAATGTTTAAGACATAGAAAATTATGCAGCATGAGGAGTACCCACAACCAAAACAAAACAAAAAAATAACAATATTGTTAAAACCTCCTACCCTATAAAATCCCCCTCCGTGGAAGCTCCCTCCCTCCTCCATTTATAACCACTGTCTTGAAGATATGTAATTACCATTCCTAAAGATGATTGATGTTTCTGATAGAAATACCTGTTAAGACATATTTATATTTTCATTAATTTCTCTAACAATCTATAAGTTTCATATTCAAAGATAAAGAAAACCAGAGCAGTTTAGTAACTTGCCTCTACTAGTAAATGACAGATTGAAATTAAAGCCCTTCTGACTCCAAATTTTAGAATCCTTCTAAGTAAATCATAGGACAGTCATGAAATCAAAGCAATTAATTCCACAGATCTAAAAGCATAAGGATGAGTTTTTGATTCTGTTCAAAAGAAAAATCTGTCCAAAATAATACATTTGTCCCTGAAGATGAAATGTGATGACACTCTAAATACATTGGCCTATATAAACATAACCTGCTAAATTTTAGCAGCACGGGGGTGGGGGGGGTAGAACTTCAATTATGGGGAGAAATACACTGTTGGGTTTGCCAAACGTTTAAAATTTGTATTTTATAAATATTTTTACTCTTATAAATATTTAAGAGTCAATTGTCAAGCATTTTTCTTGGCTAGGGTATCTAATGTGAATGTTCTCTCACTTTCTGTTCATCTGCAAACCTCTTTCTTTTACCCTGACTAGTGAATAAATTGAATGAATACGGGATTGTAGTCTCTATCAACTCACCTGTCCCTTGAATCCTTTCCAAGGGCTCCCTTGCACTGATGCAACCTGGAGTTTGTCCCAGAGGCGGGAAAGCATCACAACAGGTCTCCTGGCTGAACCTCCAGGTGCCATCTACCTATCTGCATCAGCAGCTGCTTGGCTCTAAAGAAGACGAGTTGGAATTGGGAGCAGGAAAAGAGGCAGTGTGATTTCTGTTGCCATCCTTCTATTTGCTATCTATAGTGACTTTTTAAGAAAGGATTAAGAACAAAGAAGGGACAGAATATAGAGCTAAAAGAACAATTTATACTAATCCATTTTTAGTTAGGTACCATCCTAGTAGCTGGTTTAGAATGGAAATACCTTTAAGGGCTCAAGCACCAAAGTTTCTAATGCTTTAGCTGTTTCAGAGTATATTACACTTCAGGGACTAGTATGAATTCCATCTAAAAGTGGCAAATGGTACTATGCTATTCAGAACCAGAAATTAAGCCTTATTTAATAAATAAAAATAAAAATATTCTTCCAAATAGAAATGCATGTAACATAATTTAATATAAGAATTGTAAAATGAGGACATAATTAAGAACACAGTGTCAACAATTATATCGTGTGAAGCAAACTTATAGATGGAAAATAATATTCCATTAAAAATAATATTCCTTACAAAAAATTAGTGCATAATTAGATAAACAAATATCACCAAGACTGAATTATAGAAAATATAACTGTTGTCTTTTCAAAAAAATTTAGTATTAATATTAACAGAATAGTAAGAACAGCATGGACTTGTCCTAGAAGTCTTTAAAGGATGTATTACCCTTTTTGAACTCGGCCACAGTCACTTTTTACAAGATACATCCACGAAAGCAAAAGAAACAAAAGCAAAAATGAACTATTGGGACTTCATCAAGATAAGAAGCTTTTGCACAGCAAAGGATACAGTCAACAAAACTCAAAGACAACCTACAGAATGGGAGAAGATATTTGCAAATAATCAGATTTTGCAAATATCAGATAAAGGGCTAGTTTCCAAAATCTATAAAGAACTCCTTAAACTCAACACCAAAGAAACAAACAATCCAATCATGAAATGGGCAAAAGACATGAAGAGAAATCTCACAGGAAGACATAGACATTGCCAACATGCACATGGGAAAATGCTCTGCATCACTTGCCATCAGGGAAATACAAATCAAAACCACCATGAGATGGTGAGAATGGGGAAAATTAACAAGGCAGGAAGCCACAAATGTTGGAGAGGATGCGGAGAAAAGGGAACCCTCTTACACTGTTGGTGGGAATGTGAACTGGTGCAGCCACTCTGGAAAACTGTGTGGAGGTTCCTCAAAGAGTTAAAAATAGACCTGCCCTACGACCCAGCAATTGCACTGTTGGGGATTTACCCCAAAGATTCAGATGCAATGAAACGCCGGGACACCTGCACCCCGATGTTTCTAGCAGCAATGTCCACAATAGCCAAACTGGAAGGAGCCTCGGTGTCCATCGAAAGATGAATGGATAAAGAAGATGTGGTTTATGTATACAATGGAATATTCCTCAGCCATTAGAAACGACAAATACCCACCATTTGCTTCGACGTGGATGGAACTGGAGGGTATTATGCTGAGTGAAGTAAGTCAATCGGAGAAGGACAAACAGTGTATGTTCTCATTCATTTGGGGAATATAAATAATAGTGAAAGGGAATAGAAGGGAAGGGAGAAGAAATGGGTAGGAAATATCAGAAAGGGAGACAGAACATAAAGACTCCTAACTCTGGGAAACGAACTAGGGGTGGTGGAAGGGGAGGAGGGTGGGGGGTGGGGGTGAATGGGTGACGGGCACTGAGGGGGCACTTGACGGGATGAGCACTGGGTGTTATTCTGTATGTTGGCAAATTGAACACCATAAAAAATAAATTTATTATTATTATTTTTATTTTTTTTAATTTATTTATGATAGTCACACAGAGAGAGAGAGAGAGGCAGAGACATAGGCAGAGGGAGAAGAAGACTCCATGCACCGG